CCGAGAGGTCGGTGGACCTGTTGGAATCTAGAGGAAATCTCCCGGCTGGCTCTGAGCACGATGTGACCAGACGGGCTATTAGGCACGAACTAAAGCGGAGCCTACGTGCTGACAAGTGAGCCTGGTGGAGCATTCGGGCTCAAGAAATGGAGGAAGTAGGAGCAGTAGAAAATTACCGCAAGCTCTTCCAGCTAATCCGAACCACTGGTCCCTGGAAACCAGGCGTCAGTGAGACAATCGGAGACAGCGCTGTTGCGTTGATACACAATAAGGAGCGCCGTATGGCTCGTTGGGCGGAACACTTTCAAGCGCAGTTCGGTTGGCCCCCTGCTCGCGGACCTCTTCCTACACAGGTGATACAGGACGAGCCATGGACGGTTAGTATAGAGCCTCTGTTGGAGGTCGGGGTCCGAAACGCGATCACAGCTCTCAGTCCTTTTCATGCCGCTGGCCCGGATTCCCTCCCACCTGCACTATTTAAGGATGGAGGTGAGGTCCTCTGCAAAGCACTGACCTTGCTATTCGAACGTATCTGGAAGGAAGAGAGTGTCTTGGCTGATTGGGGCGAATGGATTATTATGTCAATATACAAGGAGGGCAGTTGCACAGATTGTGCTAACCAAGGAGTGTTAGCCCAACGCCAGTAGTGACAAAATGACTGGCCTCGATTATCGTTCGTCGCCTCACTGCGGAACGGGAATCTCGGATTAGGGAAGAGCAGGCAGGTTTCCGCCCAGGGCGTGGCTGTATAGACCATATATTCACTTTGCGACAGGTGCTAGAGCAGCGCCACGCATATCGCAGACCGACAATAGCTGTGTTCCTCGATTTCAAGAGCGCGTTCGATTCAGTTGCCCAATGCATTCTGTCCGAAATACTTAAGTGAAATGTGTTCCTACGAAATGTGCGAACATCCTTCGTGCACTATACTCGAACACTACAAGCTGCGTCAGGGTATAGGATGGCCTAGTAGATAGCTTTCCGACCATAAGTGGCGTTCTTCAGGGTTTCCCGACTTTCCCATTTTTGTTCAATATTGTCGTGGATTCTATCTTGGAGTGTCCCATTGCGGAATCTCAAGATGTAGGCGTTGAAGTGCTGCCTGGTGAAAGGTTAGTTGATCTAGATTATGCGGACGATATCGTCTTGCTTTTCGACGATGTTGGGGCGGCACAATCAACCCTGAATAGCTTGTCCAGAGTAGTTCCATTATTTGGTATGCACTTCGCACCTTCAAAGTGCCAAGTGTTGCTGCAGGACCACCAGACACTTGCTGACCTCTTGACGCTTGCTAACGAGAAACTCGAGGTGGTTGATCATTTCACTTATCTTGGCAGCTGCATCAGCATGATGGGCGCATAGAAACTGACATCAACTCACCCATTGCAAAGGCCAGAGCTGCGTTTTTGAACCTGCGGCATCTTTGGCGACAGAGTGGAATTTTCATCCGTCTTAAAGGCTGTGTAAACAAGGCCACAGTGAGGGCCATTCTGCTCTATGGTAGTGAGAATTGACCCCTTCGGTCTGAAGATCTGAGGCGCCTTTAAGTCTTTGATCATCGTTGTTTGCGAAGCATTGCAAGTGTCGGATGCCACCAGTGTGTCCGCAACGATGATCTGCGTATGCGAGTACTAGGTAGTGATAAATATGCCAGCTTCCTAGAACTACAGATAGCACTGAATATGTTGCGTTGGCTCGGGCACGTGTAACGTATGCCTGGTCACCGCTTACCTAGGAGGGCCTTGTTTAGTCTGCCAGATGTAGGGTGGCACAAATTTTGAGGTGGACGAAACTTGACTTGACATTGGGAAATGAAGTTACTGACGACCAAACTGGGTATCGTTGGTCCGTTCTGCCTTCCGGGCTGGAGTGCACGTGACTCGTCTTGTGCTTGGCTCGAGACTTTCCAAGACATGGCTCGCAACCGACACCAGTGGCGCATCTGCTGCCGTCTCCTAATCGGATTGCCTGTTTAAAGTGTGTTTGGTGATGAGTTATCTGCGGGGTAATGGCTGATTATGACGCGTGGCAGTGAAAGCCGCAAGGAAGCTGTCTCGCCGATGCCACCTTATCTTGACACGATAGCCAGCGGTATGTTTTATACACATGGTGTAGGCGCTTTGGCCCTGAATGTTTGCTTAGGGCATTAAGGTTATCAGGTAAGTCCCCCTTCTCTCCCTCTTCTTATTCTTTATTTCATAGGTCCTCATGGTTGTATGGCACCGAAGCATCAGTACAACTGGTTGATGTGCTGCTGTTTATGATATTGATGATGAGCACCGCACGTGGCTTTTCCTACTACCTGCTGAGAAACAAAACCATCCATGCACCTTGGATGCACGTGGCAGGTACGTATCTGTGAATAGTGCTAGTCGAAACGACTCTTAGTGAGATGATCGCAGCCGTGTGCATGCCATCACTTTGCCCAGGTCTATTTGGGATACGTGAAACTACGACTACCGGCGCCGAACTCAAGCCTACTGGACAGCCACACGTCCGTATATGAAAGACACCGTACAATATTCCACTTCAGTTAGGAGCCGTAAACGTTTCCAGGAATCAAACTTTCCCAGCATCTCACAAGCTATCGAATTACTTTCCAAATTTCGGGTAGACATCCACATTCGATTACTTCTGGTATGCTGTACACCATGATCCCCACTCCTATACAGAATGAGAGAGTATTAATGACTATTATGGTGATTTGTTGCGTTTTTAGGAATATCCGTCGCAGCGAGACTAAAACAGACAGCCACCACACGTCCAGGAAAGCGCTAAACGGCCGGTTCGTCTTATTGAGACTTTTCAGTAGCGTGCACCCACCAAATCCTGCTGGATTCGAATCCACGACCTAACTCTTGCGGCCCAGCGACTTATGTGACTGGGGCGTGGGCGAGGGCAGCGGACCTCCAAGACTGATATCTAACTGTGATCTAGCGCCGCTCATCCCCCAATCTTATGATTGTTATGAACGTGCAGGGTACTGGGCAACGACTTTTTTGTGCAAACCGCCATCAATTGAGGTAGCTTATAGGCTACTAAGGTGATCACTGATTGTTAATGAGAACTAGAGAGATTTGTTGTGTTTTTGAGAATAGTTCCACTGTCATTGGTCGACGACTAGCAAGAGTAAGGTCATGTGTTCGAATTCGTCAAGATTTGGTGGATGCGCACTACTGAGGAGTCCGGATAGGATGAAACGGCCGCCTAGCGCCTTCCTAGATGTGTGATGGCTGTATGAGTCTAGCTGCGACGAATATTAACGAAAATAGAATGAGAGTGGTTAGGGAGCGGCTAACATTTGAACAAGGTGCCAACGCGAATGTAAATGTGTGATCGAACTAAAAGAAGTTTAAATTGGCTTGAAATAATTATAGCTCATTAGAAGAAGAGTTGCTGCGAAGAGATCTCTTTTCGATACGTCTTCTCAGGCATTTACAATTAGGAGAAAACTTGATACAACACGATAAGCTAGCTAAAACTGCAGTAGTAATTGGTTAAGTCACACAGTTCAACGGTAGGTCAGAGCATCAATCGATAGATCAGTCAATGCTTCAGTTGGGCAGCTTCACGCCCTCTCACACCTCAAACACTGAAAGGGAAACGTAACAAGAAGTAGATGGTTGATTTGGCGTCAAAGCTCACAGTTACTCCTGGGCAAAGGTAGGTACGAATGGTATCAATCGTTCCGGCCAAGGCAGCTTGAGCGCTTGTACAAGCGTCCTCTGCTTACCTAACTCCGGTTGCAGCAGCGTGATAGCCATTGCATCCGAAGTAGCCAACAGGCGCTTCCTGAGTCCTTTTGGGTTGCGTTTAGATACGGCGTAAAGAACTCAGAAAACGTCCTAGGTCCGAACAAGATACACCGTACTAATCAGGTGTTCAAGGACGGAGCTATGGGCATTCTTAGCTGTACCGTGCCGTAAAGAGGTGGGACAGTGTTCCGCTATCCTCTTAAATAGACCTTTGGTCTTGTGTCCGTGGTACCTGGCACGACAGGCGCAGGTGTACTGATATAAAACGAAAGATTCGGAATGAGCCGGGAGTCTGTCTTCGAGGCTTTTAGTGATAAACGGAACAGTCTCGGCAAGAAGGATATGTTTGGTAAACAGCGACGAACAATCTTTTGTTCAATAACTCGTAGGTGATATCTCCTTTAAAGGGAACCGAACTGAAGATGTCCTTTTTCTTTACCGTTGTTATTTCTTTAGGTTGAGTAGAAATGGCAGGAGGTTTGTGGTCTTAATGTCGCGGGCTAACCGTTGTTTTGTAGCGTTGTGCGAATGAAATACTTCTCAGCATCCAATGTTTCTGGACTGCAGATTTTTGCGGCGCGATAGTAACGACTGTTTCATGGGCACAAAACTAAGGAAATGTATGTACTGACCCACCCACGTAGACTTGCGAAATGGGCTCCTCTCAAGCAATCCGGCAGTTCGCCGGCGCAGTAACACGTTCAAAAATGAGGTTTTACCGGCGTTTCACCTTCGTGCAACTAAGTAAGTCACCCTGACTACTTATGAAACGTTAGAAAAACCACCTAGCAAGTGCAGAGAGCACTTAGAAGCGGAAGTAAATGATGGTCACACGTTCTACTATTGATTTAGATATTGCTTGAACTCCACGCTGGGAAGTTAGCTTGTCAAGTTTGGTTTAGTAGGCTCGATATTAACGGTCGGATTTATTACCCAGCTGCTTAACTTAGAGATGCATGTCGCCGTGGCCTATGATTATATCACCACGGATATTTTGGTTGGTGCTTCAAGTAACCTAGCACATTTTTTGTGGTGTCGGTTCCACACAGGAAAAAAGCAGAACACTATGTTTAGATTGTTGTAGCCTCCGCACAAGGGGTTTGGGTTGTTCCCAAACTGCATGGGCTGCAAGTACTTGCTAGGACAAAGCGGAGAACTTTATGTGATCTTAACCCCAATCATGACAAGCTGTGTGGTACAGTGCACAACCTAAAGGACAGGGATGTGAACTGGAAGTCATCTCACCTTTCATGGTCATAGTTGAACCGTCTGGAACACTGATGACGATGTCGCTCAAACCCGTTGCATGCATAGCTTTCCATCCAGATGTGCTTTTTCACAAACGGGTTATCATAACCATATACACGAATGTCGTACAGGTGGGAGACACGGACGATGGCGTTTAACGTGGGTTGACCGACTTCGTAGCAAACTACCTGGGAGGCAGGAAATGGTACAAGAGATGATGTAGCAAGCAACAAATGGTACGCTGAAGTTATAAAAAGTGGATAATCGGCTTTAAGACAGAGAAATCTTCGGTAAATATTCCTGTCCTGTGGAGTTTCATAGACCAGTTCTCCATACGCTAGATACTAACGTCAGGTGCCTCGTTGGGAGTGAACTAGTTGAGTATGGCCACACTCGTATGGCAAGAGAAACTAATCAACTTCACTCTATTACCTTACTAATTTGCTCTAATGCACTGTCGAGTGGCACTAGTTGTAGTATCGTCACTGACGCCTTCATCCCATGACCGCCAGCAAAAGTCCAAACGCGAGCCGAAAAAGACTTGTGTGCATTAGTTCACACCTACTTATATAGTTTCGAGGGGATTTCGAAGGGAGACCACATACGGGCCAAGCAAACAGAGGGAAAACGCTAGACGCAACAAACGAATAATCAGCTGTGTAATAAAGAACGAATCAGATATGTTCCTAGCAATGGCATTATGGGGATCCAAACCGTAAAGTGAACATTGATTCACAACAACGGGTGCCGGCCAATTAGAATAAAGAAATGCTGTGAATGAAAACGGCAAGTGAGATCGTTGGTCGGCCGGTGGCCGATTGGTCTCCACGCCTGCCTGGCCTGCACTCCAAAGGTTCACCGGTTCGAATCCACATAAGGGCGGACGATTTTGCGGTATGGTCAGCACAAGCGCGACTGGTGGTCGTCGCGCGGTAGCGACACGCCGTTACGGCGTACAGCTAAGGATTTACCTTTACTTTTTACATAAGATCGTTCACAAAAAATGTCTAATAATTCTTTTAACACTAGCGTACAGATTACACCAATAAGTAAACCGCAATTTGCCTCAACTAGCAAGGCGTTAGTTTCAGCTTTATACTTTTGAACCAGAAGTATGAAAAGTGTTGAGTACGGCAGGCCAAACTGTTAAGACTGTTTCCTCCACCGGTATTAAAGACGGGAATGAGAAGAAAGTTGTAAGGAAGCAATGGATGAACATTATTCTGCACTTCTGGTGGTTGCAGTAGGTGATGGTCTAGTATGTCGCGGAGCATTACCACTGGATGTTCGGGCAGTTGTTGCTAGAAGCAGCAGCAGTTGTTCCTGCCTCAGAAGCGCAGTTTATCGATCAAAGGCCGGGATGCTGTCTTGGGGGTATCCATGCTAGCGACTGCATATCTGATTACATCACGCGTGAGGAAGACATTCCGAACACCTAACAATACTTTGGCGGTTCCGGTATCGAGAAATCAACAGTGGATAGTTAAACGTGCCGACCTTAACCACACCAAGATGCTCTTTGGCTAGTTACATGGAACTGAAGTCCCTGTCATGCGGGGTACTTGCATCAAATTACTGAACTGGAATCTCAAACTCGGCAGTTCATTGTACCCATCTGCTTTACGGCAACTTGGTGCAAATGGTGCTAGTATGCAATGTAGAGGAGTTCAGCGCCACCACTAACGCAATGTTGTGCGGAATCTGTGAGTTGGATTGTTAATCTAAAAGAGACTGTCACAGTGAACTCCATATTACCTGACGCAGCATTGAAGTAGATTAGAAACACGATGCGCATAAAGCTGAGAAAGAAGAAAGCAGTAAACATCCCGACCTCTGGTTAGAGAACATTACACCCCAACTAAGGAAACCAAACGGAGCACTCTAGACAGTGTTAACAAGTAATGCTACAGCTACGCCGATGTGAAGTGGACTTCACAATCTCCCTAGAAGGGTGGATATAGCGAAATAAGATATTGTGGTGTACACGTAAGCAAAGTTCATTGGTGATGACATAATATGTCCTTAGTTTTGGGCATCTTTAGAGAGGAAGGTTTCCCGGCTTTGCAGATGGTGCAGTAATCTGGCTCATATCAATGGTTTACAAGGCGCGCCCCTGGAAAATATTGAATTGCGATGTAAACCCAGGCGACGAAGTATGTTTGCAGCCAAAGATGCAATACGTTCGTCATCAAACGGTCCGCTCCCCAACGAATGCACCCATATTATATGTTTACAGTGTGTCAACACAGTTGGGTTCATTCGTGATTTTGAAGCAGTAAGGTTTAGGGAAGGACATAGTTGTCAATACGTTCTATTCTTCCTAAAGATAATGATGAATAAGGAAGCAAAATACTGACAATTCTGAATTAAATTTGCACAGCTTGAAGCTCTTTACATGCCTACCTGTGCCACTTCGGTAGAGAATTGTCGGTCGCACACAATGCTCCAGCTTTGGGCGGTTGAGTTATAGAAGTGCACAAAACCCTCGTAATGCTGGCGGAAAGAACAAAAATATCGGGGTATAGATGAGCCGAGGTAAGCGGTGAACAGTTACCGAAAGCGACATTTAAAGCATCCTAAATGAACTATTCAGACGATTGGATGGTCAAGTTTTGGATTACACGTTGTGTGATTGGATTGCGACACGCAACCTCAATTTAATAGACTGCGATTCACATTGAAATGAACCGTAGTCACTGCGATCGCTGGGACCGTATTCAAAGTAGATGGAAATTGTGTATTGCCCACCCGAAAACATTGCACAACCACGACGCGTTTCGATGTAATTTTCATCTCATCAGGTGGAGACAGCAGGATTTGAACCCAGGACCATTGGAATAGCAGCCAACACTACTACCCCTTTGGCTACCGGGTCACGATGGGCAATGCTTTTTGTCACAACGTGTAATCCAAAACTTGACCCTGCAATTAGTCATCTACCGTTGTGACAAAAAGCATTGCCCATCGTGACCCGGTAGCCAAAGGGGTAGTAGTGTTGGCTGCTATTCCAATGGTCCTGGGTTCAAATCCTGCTGTCTCCACCTGATGAGATGAAAATTACATCGAAACGCGTCGTGGTTGTGCAGTGTTTTCGGGTGGGCAATACACAATTTCCATCTATTCAGACGATTACTTAGAAACACATCATTTCAGATAATTGTGGTAGGTTTTGTTTCAGGAGCTGCAGACTCCTGGTTCATTATACTCTTCATGCACCACATCTTTTCCATGGTAGAGACCGAGTTTACATACTTAAGAAAGCTTGCAGCTGTCGTACTTGTGGCTTCTGAAAACAGTCAGTGATGTTCGGCGCACTACGCCCTCTTGCTAATACATGGGTAGCTTCACAGTAAGCCTCCACAATAAAACAGTTGGTACATCCGATTTATACAAATGAGGAAGATTTCAATTCAGACAGACAGTCCAGATCAGTGCCCAGACCATAGAAATTGGTGCCATGACTACGCACATTGGTGCGAGGATTCCGATACCGCAACAGTTGGGCGACCGTGCTGTCTGCAACTGCAACTAACACCTTCCGAGAAGATGTATCGAAAGCGTCTTCGCCTCAAAAGCCGTTAGCGGCATTACTTCTCAGACCATGAGAGTAACACTCTCACATATGACACACGGACGCTCACACAAGGAGAAGTGGTGACTGCGAATTCAAACGTCGACCGAGATCGTGCACTTATGGAGAGACGGTGGGTGGCATTATGCACTGACTACTTGAACAAACACCTAAGCAGCTTGCATCCAGTGTCATCTACAAGAAAGAGGACATGAATGTGTGCCGACTGGAGTTGAAACTACTTCGCAGTCTGACCACGCCCCTACACAACGGGCTACGAGAACATGGGCACTTGGATGTAAGCGACACTGCTCCAGTGTCATTCGGACCGAAGCATTCTACGAGCATCTAAATCATGCAGGATCAGCGTACATCACTCACTCACGTGATTTCGGAGAGACCAAACGCACCGTGCCCCCTACGCAATGTGGCTGGGTTTTTCTCCCGCGAAGTTGTGCACGCCAGCTACTGCTACCATGATAGGTAAACTATTGATGTCGCCACCTGCGGTGGAAACGGATGAATGGAGTTAACCGCCATACATACTAGGGAGTAGCGGACTGTCATTTCGTCCATCCGCTGCTCTTAAGCAGCCAATTTCCCCCTGAATCGGTCAGAGGTTAGCTCGCAGCCATCCTTTTGTGAAGTACTGCTCGAAGCTCTTAAGCTCTAAGTGATGGCGGCAGGCCAACACAATTGGTTACCGGTTGCGATGCAGCGCAACATTTCCTTCACTGAAAGGCGCATTACAAACGATGCGCAGTGTATTAAAAATGGTATAGAAGCAGACAAACTTCCAGTTCACCGTTGGTGTTGATGTGACCACTAACCGGTAGCAAACTGTCACAACACATCTGCATTCCAGATGCTGGCGGGCGCGAGATATCCTAAGTCCTCTATGCAGCCGTACGCGCTGATAACGTATGGAACCGATTGCGGCTTGGCTCTACTGTCTGAGTACATCCGCCACCCAAGTGTCACGGCGCACAACTCAATAACTGAAGAATGTACACAGTTAGTGACTGGTCACAGTATATAAGTGCTAGCTTGACGTTGAGGTGTTGACCTGCATTGCCTTGTCACTGAATCCAGTTATCAACTATGAGATAGGTGGTTACATGAATCTGCACCGCAAGCGTCAACCCACAATTCCCTACAGAGACGAAGCGTGAGTCACTGTTTCGATCTTGAGGATAACATCATTTCTTTCTGCGGTGTCCAGCGTTTGATTCCATAGGATCCCGCGTGGTTACACTCATACCAGTGTACAAACATCCATTTTCGTCACAAAGCTATTTTTGTAGGCTTAATTCTGCCTAGGAACAAACTGACCTGTTCACCACCCACTAGCCGTACGGAATCTGTGGATAAGCCAAGCCTGCCACGTCCAGCATCGTGCTTTGATCTGCTGCCGACCACATTGTCGCGTTGAAATTGGGACTCTAGCGGGCGTGCCGGCTCTGTCAGTGGGTCAGATGGAGTGTGCATGGTGGTGAAGCGGATGGGTCGATTCTTGAAGCCCTGAGCCACCAGGCGCCCGAGTACTAGCAATCCCACATTTGGGGAGAATTTCAGGCATACTCCAGCATCTATCCGTAGTTCACATCCCGGCAAGACTGTGAGATCAGAATTCACCTGACGTGAATAGATAAAAGAAAAGAAGAATGCACTTACTTGTGCTGTTGGAAGTGGAGCAAACTGCATGTAACTGTGTCCTGCGAAATCGATTATACAGGGTCAAAAATATTGGCTGGAAATTACAAAGGATGCTCAACTGTATCGAATCGGCTGCAACGATTGGACCCTAGCTACTTCCCTGATAACTGGACTTCCCACAAATGTGGAAGACAACTTCAAGTATCTTACTCAAATATACCACGGTGTTTTACGTTTGTCTAGATGTGTCCTAGGACCTGAGCACCACATCAAACCAGCGGTTGTTTAAGGCGGTTTCAAGGAACCGACAACCTCTATCGACGCTGCAAACTCATCCGCCCTAAATATGCTAAAGTGGACGCAGCCTTCTAATGGCTGTTTCAGTAGATATATTCCATTTCTGAGGTGCTGCAAACATCCTACAAGCGTACTTGTAATTAAACTAGTAAACAAGGTGCATATGTGACGAAGAATTGTTCCTTTTGGTTGAAATACTCATCATTTTCCATCCAGCACTTTACCAGTGTAACAGCTTGGATCTATGGAGCTTGGACTAAGTTAAAGACAGCTGAACCGTCTCCGTTGCTGAACACAAGATATTCGCTTCAGTAGCATTCAACTTTAAACGTGGAATGAATGAAAAGTTTGGCAATATGTGTGATGGATGAATGAGCATATTTAAACCAACATATTTTGAAACTGACCTTGTACGATAAATGAACTAGTAGTTTCGGTTGGGGACTACGTGCTAACATGGAACTTTTCATTAGAAACATAACTCGCATACCTTCATTATGAAATGCTCAATTGGTTAGCTCCATTGCTTGGAGCGTCATGCTAATAACGCGAATGCCGTGAATTCGATCACAGTCCGGGCCACGGGTCTACGCGGTCGGCAACTTGGATGCCGCGTAGGTCACGGTTGGACGGTGGCTTGATCGCCCCTTGGATGTTGCACTACAAGTCCGGTACTCAGTTGCGCTCCTAACGTCGCACACACAATCTGTGGACTCGCAGCTCCATCCCTAAGATGACACGCAGTTGCCTAATCCGGGTCGTGGAATCGCAGTCAGCCGTGCGGTTGACGCATCACCGAGATGCAATTTGCCACTGCCCCTGTTATTAGCCGTGTCCGTTCACCTGCACTCATGAATGCCGTGCGCATCTGCACTACTCGCAAGCATGACCCAACCTGTGGTCTTCCACCACTGATCGTTCTTCAAGATCCTGTTTACCTAGTCGGAGTTTTCGTGATATTTCCAGTCGTTTGACCACTACACCCTATTACGATGGTCTGTGTGGTTCCAGCGAGTCGCATCAGCTCGTGACTGCCGTAGCCTGTCCAGAATTTGCACCTTGTCATGTCTGCATACTATCCACATAGCAACGAGCGTTTTGTCTTTTCAATCTACTAACTTATGAAGCCAGTCGTAACATCGCTTCGAGCAGTAAGAGACTATCATGTGGGATGACTGCGTCTATCTGACAGTTATTTTTGCCCTGTTTTCAGCATGAACAACGTTGTCAGCGATTATCAGAATGGTATTTACATGCGATTGACCCTGCTGGGTGTGGTGAAAAATATGGTTGTGCGCCTAAATAAATGTGTGCCTTTAGCACGACGCGAAGGAACTCACCTGATACGGTTGGTTACGGTACACGAGGGAGGCGCTGCATGGCAACCGGCCTCCAAATGTCATCACCCGAATCTCACGGTCATTGGCTGCGGTTTTTGTCATAGCGGTGCCAGAGAGCTACAGTTGCGTATAGAGGGACAATTAAAATAAAAATATATTTTCTATTTTGTCATAATAGTCAGTTCTTTGTGTTCTTGGTGAAAAGCACTTAAGGCACACGATCAAACGCAAGGAGTCAGGGGTAAAGTAGTTGACAGTTCCATTTTTAAGCATTCGTTTGATCCTAATCACCAAATTTGGCCGGAAAGCCATTGCCGAGCACTTTTGGTCCTGTCGAGCAAAAAGCTGTAAAGTACTAGGGAAAGCCATGCACTCCAGGTGTGGGGTTATTTAAAGCAGAGGAGAAGAACCAGAATATAAGGCTCTTAGGTGAACCCCTATCTTACCCGGATGTGCCTCGATAAGCTGGCCTCATGACTATGGACCCATGGCAGTTTGTTCCACCAGGTGACCGGTTGTGGTGTCTGGAGGGATTCTGCTGTTCCAGACGAGTCTCGTTAACTAATGACTCAGTTGTGGACACCTGGAGAAACTTGTCGAATGGAATTTTCACCGCTATCGGACGTTGCCCACTTCAAACTGAGGTCCATTTAACTGTCGAACGACACCAATACAACTAGCTTAGTAAACCGGCAGATGGTTGCGTAGACGACGGTGATGATGCTGATGTTGGCGGATGAAGTCTGGTAGAGCACAGAAGATCCGGCCAGAAAAAGCCATTCAGCCGAATTCATGTTAGTACATCTTATGCATACTGAAGCTTACTGCCTCGAGTTGGTCAAAATAGAGAAAGCACCTACTCAGCGGTAAAACTGATTGCCTGCAAGCAAGCAGGCATCCACATTGGTTCACAAGGGAACAGCTAGGCAGTGTCAGGTCCGTTTGTCACTTTCGCCAAGCACATGTTTGTGGAACTGCAAGTTTCATTCACCTACATGGCAAAGCCTGACCACACGCTATTTGATATACAACACGTGATATACACGCCACGTCAAAACCATTCTGACCTCTCTACATCACCAAGATGGCGTCGGAGCACTGTACAATGTTCTTAGTATATTGGTGCCTAGCCTTCTGATATGGTAACCAGTCACGCATAAAGCCGCACAAATAATTGGTGACCCCGAGTTGAGACACACTCTACTACCTTGACATTTAGCTGTTCATTTTCCACCTAAAACACTAGGGCTGTTCCATCACACCAGGCGGTTTTCGCACACTTCGCACTACCAAAAATTAACCTAGTTTCTGTTAACCCTCCGCTTTTTTGGCACCATGACTCACAGATATGGTTTACTCAGGTCCATGCATAGTTTGCTCTTCGCAATCTCACACAAGAAACGGACCATGTTTTATCATGTGCTAGCCTTATTGCCACCAGAGATTGTTGCTAACTTACGAGATATTTTGTCGTCACCGCATGACGCTAAGCCTTATTCGCAGCGTAAACATACAGTCATCCAAGAAACCGCCGTTTCTGAACACAAACGTCTTGAACAATTGAGTAGCGGCGACTCACTTGACGGACGCACTCTTTCCCAGTCCCTAAGACGTCTTCAGAGTGTATTAGGCGATTGCAAATTAGATGACATGTTATTCAGCCAGCTATTTCTGAAACGTTTACCTACGCAGGTAAAGGCTATTCTAGCCAACAACGCTGACAGTGTTTTCCTGACGCTACTTGCTAGTATCGCCGACAATATTTTAAAAATCCCGTCTAGCACAACTGACATCCACGCCGTTGAAATACACACTTTACCAAACTCAATCAACGATCGTCTAGACAATTCGGCTAAACAAATAGCCGAACTTCGGTTAACTCGACCGGCACGACAGCGTTCTTCTAGTACTCGTTCATCTACCAGAACCAGAAGCCCTTCTTCATCGCGTACTTCCGATACTTGTTGATATCATGGTCGTTTCAGTCATTCAACCCGTAACTGCACCCAACCCCGCTCCTTACGTGAAATGCAGCCGTCAGACTTCCAGCATTTGGGAAACGAACAGGCCAGACAATGGAGGCGAGCACCGTGCTTGGTCGACAGCAACCCAACTCTCCCCGACTCACGGTCCTAGATCAGAGCAGCGGTTTCCGTTTTCTTGTCGATACTGGTGCGGATGTGAGCGTAATACCAACTTGCTCTTTTGTTAACCCCACTCCATCTTCGATGTATTTACCAGCAGCTAATGGGATCAGTGTTCAAACTTACGGAAAACGAATCTTACTACGCAGCCTTTGTCTACGGCGACCACTCAGTTAGATATTCATAGTCGCAATCGTACATCAGCCCATATTAGGAGCGGATTTCCTGACATATTTCAGCTTGTCAGTGGATCTACGAAACCAGCTTTTGTTAGATGTCAACACGCAGCTTTCCGTTCCTGGTAACACAGTGTGTACGTCATCCATCTACCTCATAACCCTTTTGCTACAAGCCACTTTTCCATACGACAAGTGCTTTCATAGATTTCCGGATCTATTAAAACCAAACTTTCATCAGTCGAATACCAAACATTCTGTTAGTCACCGCATCACAACCAGTGGTACTCCACTATTCTTCCGTCCGCTACGACTACATCCAGAAAGACTGAAAATAGCCAAGATTGAATTTCAACACATGCTTCAGTTAGGAATCATTTGGCCATCTCAAAGCATGTGGACATCCCTGTTTCATTTGGTCGTAAAGAAAAGTACATCAGATTAGAGAGCACTTAACCGCAACACCATTTTTGATAGGTACCCCATTCCACACATACATGCTTTTTATTCTCATCCTCTTGGAGGTACTGTATTTTTCACACATGGACATAAGGCGTGCTTATCATCCTATCCCTAGTCATCCTGATGAAATTCATAAGACAGCTATCTAAACACTCTGCGGTTTATACGCAATTTTACGTATGCCATTTGGTTTACGTAATGCTGCACAAACATACCTGCGTTTTATTGAAAAGGCACTTTCAGACCTACCTTTTGTCTTTGACTACCTTGATGATATTTTGATGGCAAGTGATAACGAAAGGGAACGCTTAGAACACTTAGAAATTTGCTTTACACTTCTCACCGAGTATGGAGTGGTTACCTACAGCAACAAGTGTGTCTTTGGTTCAGCTTCTTTAAACTTTCTCAGACACACCAATGATAGCACTGGCGTTTCGCCAACAGCAGAGAAACTTGATGTCATAAGTAAATTTCCCACGGCCACTTCTGTGAAACAGTTGAAAGATTTCTTAGGCATGCTTAAGTTTTACCGCCGTTTCATTCCAAACGCCGCATACGCGTTATCTCCACTCACGAACTTGTTGCTTGCTGATCCTAAGCAGTTCCAGTTCACTGACGCCACGGCACGAGCTTTCGAGAAATTCACATCACCTCTAGCTGCTACCATGATGCTCTTCTATCTGCAACCCGATGCTTCGCTGTCGTTAAAGGTGGATGCATCCAATACGGATATCGGAGCTGTCTTGCAGCAGACCGTCGATAAAGTCCAAGAACCACTTGGGTTTTTCTCCTCCAAGCTCACACCAGCCGAAACCCGGTACAGTACTTTTGGTCGTGATTTACTCGCCATATACTCAAGCATCCGCCACTTTCAACATCCGGAAAGAAGACAGTTCGTTGTTTTACCGATCAAAGGCCTTTGACATTTGCCATACAGGCTAAGCCAGATAACTACTCACCCCGTGGAATACGTCAGCTAGGTTTTAGTTCACAGTTCACCAATGATGTCCCCCATATTCCTGAACGAAATAAGATTATCGCTGATACACTGTCACGCCTACAAGTTGATTTGTTGAACCCATCTGCTATCTAGCTGGAACGCATGGCTCAACTGCAAAAGGACAGACCATCTCAACCGCTGGTGAATAATAAGCAGCTTTCACTAGATATCCAACCGGTGCCTCTACACACTACACCAGGTATGACTGATTGTGATGTTTCCACGGCAATCCCATGGGCATTGGTTATTTAATCCACGAGCAGAACAATTTTCGAGGCTCTTCATAACGTCTCGCATCCCGGCGTATGTGTAACTGTCAAACTGATCTCCGAACGGACATACCTAATCGGACATCAGAAGGTTTGCACAACCAGACAGCAGATTCGACCATATCCACATATATATCGTCTGCCTTCTACTCTAATGCAGTAGTAGTTCTTACATACTTACATGAATCCATCGTTTCACTCGATAGCTTGAAGCCATTCCCATTGCAGACATACTTGCAGACACCATCGCCCGTGCACTTTTCACCAGATAGATAGCCATTTTTGGCGTTCCTCCCTAAATCACCACTGACCGCGGTTCACATTTCGAATCCTGGCTTCTCTAATAGCTGACGGAACTATTGGGCTGCAAAGGATTAGCACCACTACTTATTATCTCCAAGCAAACGGCTTAGTCGAACGATTTCAGCGACCCTAAAAACTGCGATCAAAGCACACTCTGAGCAGACTGACTGGACAGATACACTTCCAATGATTTTGCTCCATTTGCGTACAATGTTTCGATCACCCCTGCAACGTTCATCCGCAGAACTGTTTTTCGAAACCACATTACGCATCCCTACGCATTTTTTAAACCTTATTGGCCAACAGTAACACTGACCCCTTCACTTACGTTACTAAACTGCGGAAGCACATGAACCAACTTTATTATTGCGTACATACGTGTTCAGTGAAATCAGCATACGTTCACCCTGATCTTTCTTTGTGCACTCATGTTTTCATTCGTAACGACCGCGTTAAGAAACTTTACAACCTCTGTATGAGGGTCCATTTCTGGTTTTTACACGTCATGCTAAGCATTTTACTGTTCAGCTACACAATAGAACGGACACTGTTAGCACTGACTGCTTGAAACCTGCTTATACCCATTCTTTTGAATCCACACCGGCAGATAACAACCAAACCTACAAAAACAGAAAGCCACCGGCATCTACGACAGGGACACCTCAAACTGAGGCTTCCAACAAGAAAACACTACGTGTCACTCGATCCGGACGATGTGTGCATTCGCCTGACCGATTTGTCGTACACTGAAAACAGCCACACAACACAATCATTATATTACACTCCCCAGCGCATGCACGCATTTTCATTAGGAGGGTATTGTTAGGTCCGATTGCCACTTTCTCCAAACACATGTTTGTGGAACTGCACTTTTCCTTCATCTACATGGTAAAGTCTAATGGCACGCCATTTGATATGCAACACGTGATATATATACGCCACGGCAAAACCATGTTGACCTCTGTACATTCCACGCCGGTGTGGAAGCACGTATACAATATTAGTATTATATTAGTGCCTAGCCTTCTGGTATTGTAACCAGTCACGCTTAAAGCAGCTCAAATAGCTTCCAACCAGTTTGTGCGTTATTCTGAGTAACCAATGTGCACAACTCTAAATGTCCTGTACTAACTAGACGAATGTAATCCTGGATGATGTGGTATATGATTTGATGCACGTGTTCTGATGAAGGTCAATGAGTAGTGATTTCACCGGCCGTCACTAAATATCAACACACAGAAATTTCTTTTGGATCGTGAACGTGCTCAAAGGATTGTCATAAGCTGCATCCTTCTACGAGGATCAACTCACCTTCTCATTAATGAAATATCGGTCGAAGTTCACGACAGAGAACGAGTTCCAGTTGTCGAATTGAAAAATGCGATCTCTGATTCTTGATTCATTTGCGGTCCCCCAGAAGTTGTTTGTGGCATCGAAATAATTCAAACTATTCGTAGACCGCACAGAAGCAGCCAGCTCGTACCGCATTCCACCATGTACACTTGTCTGCTGTCAAGATAGAAAAAGGTTATAAGTTACGCTACTCGCAATAACGCAGTTATGAAACAGCTTTATAATTTACACCATTGGATTACACACCAAAGTTTTATGGCGTTAGTTGTATTGATATAAATACTGTGGGTCTCTAAAGGGGATTGGCTGATGGGGTAGAGGCTTGGGCTAACATCTCTAGGTTCCCTGGTTCGATGCCAGCTATCTCTACCTGCTGTGATAAAAGAAGGTCGAAAGGCGTCTTGAGGTGCAAGGTTCTGGAGCGGGAAACGCAAAATAGCCACCTGTTTCATCCGTCACTCTCCCAGTGGTCGGTTTGACCAAGATTCACTTTAATGCGCATCGCGGTTCACATAGGAATTATGGGAGTATTATGGTTATATGTCGGGAAACTACTTCAAGTAGTGAAGTCCGTGGGGGAATATCCAGATCACCTGGCCTGACGAAGCCATAGTGTTAAAAATGAAACGTTGTCAATAAAAAGACTAATCGATTGTCCACAAATCTCTCAGAAAATCCAGATCCGTTTTAGTACCTCGCACCGACAGTCAAATACTTGCTGGTGACTATGGGTCAGTTGCTGCCACAGGATTGCAAATATACATGTATTAGACAACTAATACATGGGAAAGACTTGCAAACATTAGTTGACATTAGTAGATTGGTGCAAGTTTATTGGTACTACGTAGACGACGCCTCTGTATATTTACAAACGGAGAGGAAAGAAGAATTGTTAAACACCAGCACCATTTGACGAGACAGCTTCTTTCACCACGGGGTTGGAGTCCCGTATTGGCACAGTGACTTCCGAACTCACATAATTGGAAAACACTCGAGAGACAATATATTTTAAGTCGATAGGCGTTGATGGGGCACTTCACCAGAATCCAGATCACCAAGAGCCCTTTTATGTTGAGGCAGCCTCATTGTGGTTAATCATGGCGTCACCTGTGTTGTCATCTTGACATGGAAATGTGATAACCGTATGACAGTTACCACTGTTGTAGGGATTATAGACCACGTTAGCCATAGAATTCCGCATCAGTAGTATACTGTTACCATTGGTCTGAGGAAACTTGTGAGCCACAGTGCATCGTGGTCAAGCGAACACACCAATAGGAGGTTACAAATCTCCATGTACTGGTGATTTCTCGATAGGTTTCCAGTAAAATCCGAGATTCGCGTAATTTGCGATTTTTCATCGCAAAGCACTCTGCATGCATTATATGAAAAATCTAAACACTTCCTGTGGGTGAAGAGGGATCGACATCTAGCAGGTGTTAAGATGAAGATGGTGCAAATTGTTTGGTCTTAGGTACTCACTGTTTCTCTAAGTTGGAAGATACATTTGGTGAAAGCTATAAATTGTGGCACTGAATCAAGCAGGGGATGGATTTTAACAACTGGCATACGTGTCAATGGGTAGACCAATTTTGTGTGATTTCCACTGACCTCCATGTTGCTTAGTATGTTTTGCTGGACGGTAACGTTTAACGGACCAAATATTCCGACGGCATAGCACGTGGGCGGATTCGCGAACGAACCACTGGTGAGGGCCATCTCGGCACAGCTGTTGTCCTGTATGAAGTTGTTGACCACCTTGGCGACGAACTCACTTGAGGCGGGTGATTGACTGAGTGTATGGAATCCTAGCACAAAATCACACTTCTGATTTCCCGCAATTCGATTGCGATTCACGCGGATGGATTTCTCCATACCTTCGAAACAAATTAACCCATTACATTTGACAGCCTGACCGTGGGACGTATGACAGGAATTTTCTTCAACCAGATTGTCACTTAGCTCCACCTCGGCATAATAACCGTCGACGCTCAGTGTGAAGCACTGGTTGTGCGTGAAGGTGTTACGAATGAGTTGTAACCGATGTGTAGCGTCCGGATTGTAACGCCAGTCGTATTGTTTGCCAACAAAAGGAAGATGAAATCGGATGCCTTTTTGTTCCCTGTAGAGGTTGTCCTGCAAAACTGAATTGTTCTCGAAGTGACTGTTAGCGAGAAGAAACGACCAAACATTGTTTGCAAAGTGTGTGGGGGTTTGCTCTGTTAGAATGAAGCCACCGGTGTTACCTAAGAAATGACAATTTTCGAAACGATGGGCAATCAGAGATAGCCTCTCCTCGAATTGGTCGAAATCAGCATGCAGTGGCTCACCCCAATCGGTGCGGAATCTAGAGAACGAGTCCATGTGTACCGCCAGTCCATTGGAGTATCTAGAAATGAAAAAGACAAAGGTAATGGGCAGAGAAAAAGGGGTGCTGTCGAAATTATAGTATTAAAGTCTTTTTATGATCTGGTAATCAACCAAAATTACAGGTGCAGATTCTAAGCTCCATTCTCCCTCGTTCTGTTACCTTCGAAACTCATGGGAGTACACATGATTCGACTGTTTGTCGCGAATCGGACGCTCACATGTATACACACGAGCTTCTTCATTGCGTTGTGCAGTACGTGCGCTGAATTAGGCTCAGGAAACAGGAACTATTTGCTAAGAGTTGCAAATAAACCGATAAGGGGATGTGCTAACACACCTTCCGAACGTTGCCTTTGATATTGTCCCTTTAGCGCGGAAACCAATCGATTTTTTTAACCGTTCTGCATTTAGCCTTGGGGTCTGAAACAAGAGCACAGCTTTAGACTTCCAAACGAGAAATTCAGGAGAGATCAGCTGTGAGATGGCAGTCAGTTGGTATATACTTATCAGTCACAAACCTGCAACCTATGATAGGTAAACAAACAAATGTTCATATGATATCGATGTCAAACTAGTCGGTGGCCAATCAGTGCGCTTCGCGCGATTGTGGTAAGTCAGCTTCTCCACACACACGGCAGCGCCCGTTCTCGATAAATGACCATGGCTTCCAGTAGCCTGGGAGTGTGGGTCCTCCGATTACTCATCAGAACAGTTGGTAACTCATCGACGCTGACTTCGCTGCCATGGCCCACTGAGGTAGCTGAAGTTCTCGATTTTATTCGATTCCACCGTCACCAATCCCATCCGGCTGCGTAACCACTAGGTAAGATCAAACATGGGTTTGGAGTACCCGCCGTATGGTTGGATTGTGACACGCAATCCCTATTGAGACCACAGTTCACTTTGAACAATGAATTATGCATGCTAAATAGCAGTTGCTTGACAAGTCCCGCAGGATGATGGAGGTAAAACTACAGTTATCAAAAGATAGGCCAATTGTCTGTTTGAGTGTTTATCTAACAGATACGCTGCTGAATAATAGTAGTGTAAGTGGGAATTGAATACGAACGACGAGGCAACATGGGAACAATTATAGTTGTTGAACTCCGTGAGAAAAGGAGGAAGTTAAAATGAGAATACTCATTTCTGTCCCACATCCTCAGGCTTACGTAACATCCTAATCCGGTTTGGAGGGATAATTAATATATTCCAAAGTTGATGGTTGGTCAGATTTCGTAGGCCTTTGACGTTCTTTGTGGCCCTGCGTTGTGGTTGCTCTAGCACTTATAACTCGCGCTTTAACTAAGGTCGCCAAGCTTGGATGGCATATTCAACGTGAGGGCGCACGTAAGGATTGTGAATTTTTGGGAAGATGGATGGGTCGGATCTTCCTACTGCTTTGAACAGTTAAAGTCCCTTCGAATGAGCACACCAAAGTCGCGTTCTTGGGAAGTTGTTTGCGATACATGTGACCCAAGCCCATACACGTAGTCATGCTTATGGCACAATTGAACAGCGTGACATATTTCCACATTGAACGGTAGTGCATTCAGAACTGATCAGGTTGAAATCGTGTTGAGATCACGCTGGAGATTTTCGTGGTCGTTCGGTTCTTTGATCGCTCGCCATGATACCATCCGCGAAGGATAGGTAAGCGGAAGTAATTTCCCACTCCAAATCGTTTATGAAAATCAAGCATAGACGAGGCCCGGGCTCCGAGTCTTGGGGTACGCCGCACTCCACCTCCCACTTCCAACCGACGTTCGTGCAGGAATTTGCCTACCCAACGCAACAGTGGGTCACCAACGCCATAGAGCTGACGTTTATGGAGGAGAATTCGGTGGTCTAAGCGATAAAACGCTTTTGAGAAGTCTAGGTAAATGAAATCGCCTCCTGCTCCACCATCAACTGCGTCAGTCCAGCTGTTGCGTGTAAATTGCAGATTCGTACTGCATGAGCGCTTTTGTCGGAAGCCATGTTGCTACGGTGCAATTATCTTATGATTTTCCAGCTACTGCAGGAATGCATCAACGATGATAGACTCCATAACCTTGAAAAGCATAGGGAGTAGCGTTATAAGACGCTAATTAGTTGGATCGGTGCTTCTACCTCCCTTATGAATAGGAGTGATGACCCCTCACTTCTATATTGTTGGAATATGGTTCTCCTCCATACATCGCTGATAGAATATAGCCAGAGGTACTGTCAGATCACTGGCTGCTGCCTGTAAAGCCTTCGGTCAAATGTTATCGACACCAGGAGAACTGTGGATAGCAGGGACAACAGTTTCTTTGACACTTTCTGCAGTAAAAGTAATATTGGATAAAGCAGATGGTGGGACAATAGAAACAGGGATAACCGTTGAGCCCGTTACTCTCAGGAACGTTTGTAAGTAATGGAACCGTAAGAGATCGGCTGCTTCCGTTGCTGATCGCGTGCACCCGTCAGTCCTGATTAGTGCTGGAATGCCGCGTCGCACCTTAGGAAGGCCTGTATAAGAATTTGCTGTTTGTGCAGTAGCTCTTCATCAACTCCTGCTGATGTGTCCCCTTGTCCTAGCGGATCAAACGTACACAGAAGTTATGCTGTGCCACATAGACAGACCAGGTTTCGGAAATCGGAGAATCCTTGTGAGCCCTAAATGCTAAGTCCCTCAAGGATATGCATTTGCGTGTTCTGCTCCTCAGAAATGACTTCCCTCTCCCTTGACGATGAAAGGATTGCTGCTGAGACGCGTACGTTACCAGTGTGGTAAATGTCTTTGTGAGAGTGTCCCAGGCGATTCCTGGGGGAGGGGCTTTCTGTTAAGGAGGTACAAGATACCTCCTTAACAAGCGCGGATAACATGTTGTAGTGCGTGATCGTATACATTTTATCATCCTCTTCCTCAGGATATTCCGCATAACATACATAGTTAAACAACAGAGTCACATGGTCACTGCGCCCCAGTAGCGTGCTTCTAGTTCTTCCGTCTACCATGAGTTCTTCGTTGGCGAGTACAAGATCAAGTATCGACGGGTTATTAGCAGATCGAAATCTGGTGAGAGAGGTTACATGTTTGTACAGAGCGTACGTGGAAATTACCTATTGTAAACAGGCTTTGAACTACATACTATCGGTCACAGCTATTTCCAGATCATGTACATTAAAGTCGTCTACGATGAGAATGTGACTGTCTTGCTAAAAGCAAACTGAAGTACGTGGTTTAGTTTAGAGTCCACTTCACACCCAGTTTGGTGGATGGTAAATCACAGCTACAAGACATATATCGCTGTTCCGCAACCATAGCCGGCACGAAAGCGAATCTGGGACACCGATATCTGGGTGATCAATAAGTTCACCTCGGAGATTAGCCTTGTAATACAGAATTACGCCACCATATCTTCCAGCTCTGTTATTCCGAACCAGTGACACCAGGTAAATTGACTTCAGAATCTGCTATCTCAAGGTTTAACCATGTCTCAGCAATCATAATGAGATCCTGCGGTTGTGGGGCCTGACGTTCTCTAAGTTCGCCAACTTACTAAGAAGACCTTGGGCGTTAGTATACAAACATGATAGTGTTTTTGATGTTAGAAGTATGTGGGTGGACAACGAATTCGTGTTTTGTTTTAGGCCAACCCTTCGTCGGTCGGCCGCTAATTGTCTTTTGCGTGGGTCATTGGTTCGTGAATTTCAGGCCTCGGTCATTCCGATCAAAAGGGCCGTATCCGAAATGTGTTTCGGTGTTGATTCTCCCAACACTGGCACTCCATGAACGGTTTCGTCCTGATTTGAACTTATCAGATGGAGTTAGCCTGAGCTGGGGTGGTACTCGGAGCCTGATGGTTCATGGCTGATGCCTTGATCCCTATGTCAGCAAGATCCAATTCGGATACGGTCCTTGTGATCGGAATGACCGTGGCCTACTTCAAAGTGAACCGAGGTCTCAATAGAGATTGCGTGTTCCAATCCAAGCACATGGCGGGTACTCCAAACCCAAGTTTGAATTCCTTATCGCTGTGTCAAGCGTTGCTCACGGATCTTAGTGGCATAGTGATCAAAGCGTCAAGTGTGAACCACTAGGCTCTGAGTTTCACCCCAGCTCAGACTATCTCCATCTGAGGAGTTCAAACCAGGACGAAACCGGTCATGGGGTGTCAGTGTTGGGTGGGGTAATACCGAAACATCTCCACTTGGTAGGATGTTCATTGGTTCTGACTCCGAAACTTCGGTCGGTGAGCAGCTACGGGTAAACCTGCAAAAGCGATGAGGCACGCATCGCATAGTTGGCAGTGTCCTAATCGAACACGTAAGTAGAAGTCTCGTTAAGACGAGTAACTGCAATTCAGCCTCATTGTACGTGGTTTGTACTGTAGTGCGGATTGCTTTTGTGGTGCTTTTCAAAATGGGACCATCATCTTTGGACGGCTGCTTGATAAAGGTCGAGTTCCTTTGAACTGTTGATGCACCACCACGCTTGGGAATTTCAATGAGTTGCCTTATGAATTGCAACAGATAGCCATTTAATCGTAGTATCTCGAACGTCAGATCGTGATTTCTTTCTAGTAAAATTATGTTGATAAAGCAAGCATTTGTGTTGTATTGTGGAAAACTCTTGACATATGCAGGTTATTTCTTGATAGACTGACTTGACAGAACCATCCAATCGTCGTGTGATCAGTGGGTTTAGATACGAGAGGCGGTTATTTTGCTGAATGTCAGATGTCAGTGTAAGGTGCGAATGCATACTTGAGTGTCCACTTCACGTGCGGCGTATCATCAAAATATCACTTATGCAGAGTCCACAATCTAATGACATTATCTACCTTATCCACAATCATGTTCATGAATACAGCTACCAACCACGAGTGTACTGGGGTACTCATCGCCACATCGTCTATCTGTCGATACCCCCTTAATTGGAACTGAGACGGTGTTTTGCTTGAATAAAATGTACGTACTAGTGCATTTCAGCGGGAAGTTGCAGTCGAATGTTGTATTTGAAGACAAACTCAAATGGATATTTAACAATCTAATCCAACGGAATGTTGGTGAAGTGGAGACAATCTTAAGCGAAAACATTTAATTTCGGGTTAAATTAACACGTTCCAGGTACGGTAGTTAACGGGTGTTTGACAAATTATGCTGCACTATGGGTTTTCTGATTGGCTCAAGCACTCTGTTCGACCATGTGGCAACGGCAGGGTACAACGAAGTGACCATAGGCCTTCTTGGTTCATTCACTTTGGGCAAACTGTACATATGTGAAGTGTGGATGCCCACAGGCTCTGACGCTATATGTTCGGAGATGAACCTCTGAAGCTTTACGATCTATAATCCATGATAAACATACTTCTGGACCAAGAGAACAGTATCAGAATTAGTATCAAGCTGGAGTGTTGTGCAGTCCAATAGTTGTCTCAATCATAAGTAAACAATCTGGCTTATCCAGGATGCTCAATCTAGAGCTCTTATCCGGCTTCAATATAGTAACGTCCGTTTTGTTCCTGCGCACGGAGTGCGTTACAGTGCTCTGCTGTGAGGCACTTTTGCTGATGTATTTGGTGGCTGGAGACACAATATGACATCCACTTATTCGTTTTTAAACAAGACTCATTGGTGAGGGAAGTTGGATTGAAGGACACTGGCCGGAGGTCGAGATTATCGGAGGTCCCAACACGCATATCTTGTGTATGTGAAACTCTTTAAGGATGGGGCTCACAAAACCGTGAACACTGTCTAAACATTTCGGTTGACAATCCAGTTAAGACCTGGATACTACCGGTCCCGAAAAAGGTTTCATGACGTACCACTTAATGTGCCTCCAACTAACTTCCTTGGTTTGAATGTCTCTCAACCATACCACACAACTTGATGACATATTTTCGCCAAATAACCAGACACGTTGGCTCACCGCGCACAGTTCTTTTGCCAAATTTCAGCGAACCAGTAGTTGTATAGAAGTATGACTAGCAATGAATCAGTGTGCAATCAACCCATCCAGCCAACAACTTGTTTGATGACTGACAATACAGGGCTTCGTAAAAGTACCCGGAAAGCAAAAGCCACGCAGTTAGACAAGAAGTGTTTTACTGATTTCCGTCTCACTACTTTCATCTTTTCATATTTTTACGCGAGTTAGAAGCCGTGAAAAAGCTGTCAGTGAAGCAGAAGACCAACAGTTAGACACGTAAACACACGTGGTTGTGCGGTGGCAGCTACGCCTCTTCGATCTTGGGATAGTACAGCACCTTTGTGCTAATTTGCGAGGTGATTAAGACAAGTTAACGGTAGTTTAGGTGGGAGGAGGGCATGGAATTATCTAAAAGGAAGAAAAGGCATCATCAATACGAAAAGCACGCATTACCGACACTTCGCTGCCTCACAACGACCATCGGTCGCACGTGGGCTAAGAATACTGTGAGGGTCTCCCAGCCCCCACGCAGGCTTGAACTCACGCCATAAGATTGCAGGGCAAGTCCTGAAGTCCTGGAAATTGCACCTCAACCTATCCAACATAGCACACACAAATCCCTGTATTCTGTTCGATGGAAGAGATCTATCCGCTTAGTACATCAGACAATCGTGAGAGTAGGGTAGTCATTAAGGACGATCTAAAAAGAGAGACGAATACGTCGTAAGTCATAATGCGTACACCATGAATTGACAGGCTCCGTAGATGATACGGGTCCGGGTGCGGACGTTGCTAAGTCCGTTTAACAAATAGTACTGGACTGCAGATATGATTGTAAACTGGCCCATCACTGTGATGAGCACTCGAGAGGCTTATCGTCGAAGTGCTGAACACAGCGAGTCAGATTGTTTTCTATTTTTCCTCTGTGTTGACAAGATGTAGGTTAGGAGTGGAGGGAGTCATAACGCATGTGGCTACACGAAGTTCTACCTATACAATCCAACTCCCCCTACTACTCTGTAGATGGGCATACGCCATTTAAATGGGAGTAGCCGAAGGGTGACTACCTGCAACAATTACAGAATGAATCCACCTAAACTGGGGACTGAGCCTAGACGACAGGCAGTCTATCAACTGCTGTGTATCCCCAGGCGCTTGCGAGTGTGACTGTCATGACTAATGGGTGGCAAGAACTTGTAGCATCGAACACATTGGGTACGGTTGATTACCATCCCCTTCTAACCAAGTGACATGGTTGATATATCATTGGTCAAGTGAACGCATGGATCCCGCGTCGCTAAATGTCATCCTACCACTGATGATTTGGAAACGTACCGTAGTCTACTGGCAATTTACCGTGGCTTGTTGAGAATCTTGCGGCATGTTTGACTGATGACATTTCAAAGGAAAGATTTACGTGGAGATGGAGCCTGGCCAGAAATAGTGATACACTACTTCGCAGTGGAACGGTAATAACTCAGTGGTGACTAGTCCATCAGTGGAATTGAAGGATATGCAATTTGGGAAGCTAACGTGTTAAAAACTGTCACTTCCTTCAAGCTAGTTAGAGACCACCTACTGCCATTGCTAGGTAGCTTGCGAAAGGTCCGATTTAGTGGACGTCGGTGGATTGGTGCACTTGGTACGTATACATGATCCTCTTAGACGACAGGTGAAATAAAAAGCGTAGGCCAATATTTCTGTCACTCGTTAAAGGAAACTAGTTTAGCACTGTTTATCGCTGAAAGTACATAGAGAACTGCTGCGGCTGGTGATGTTATTTAAGGATAAAAGCTTCACCACGGAAGCCAGCTAGCAATATTTGCTCTCGTTTATGTGAACGTAAAATTTGACGTATTTAAGCTTGAAACTACTCTACATGCGTTAATTGTAGTGGAATTTCTGTCCAGTGATATGATCACATCATCCCGAGAGGGTAGCCTTGTGCGTACGACGAATTTTCATGCTCTAAACTGCAAACCATATTAAACGTTAAATGTGTGATACTTACATGCAGCCACTAAAGAATAAATCTAAATGAACAACAGGGATTAAAACCAATAATAAGCGAGTACCATAGTGGCTAATGGCACCCGGGTGACGAGAAGGTAAACACGAATCCGCAAGAGGTATGAAGAGGACGGATTATGAGATGGGTCGAAAACAAGTAGCGATCATCGGTAACGTGTGAATCCATTGCAGCTAAGAACGATTAAGGGCTGGTACATTTTCCTACACGTCAAAGGCTTTGTTACTCACGATAGAACCAGCAAAAGGAGAGATTTGTAGTCAGTAAACTGATTAGCATAGTAGAGAATGCCTCAGCACCAGGTGCATCGGATTTGTAGTGACCTGTTTAACAATTTTATAAAAGTGCTGAACAAGTTAAGATTGTGGTCACTTTTCAGCAATTTGTTTTGCCCATTCACAATTGTGCTGTAAGGTGAGCGACAGGCTTGTGCTTAGACCCTATCGCTATAACATAGCCATCTACCAAACTGACCCAAGGGTTGTTAACTTGTGGGTGCTTCTCACATACAGGATTTAAGGTGGTTCTGTGAAAAAACGCTAGTCATTAAACTTTACAAAAGCATTTAAACATTTACACAATTCCCTAAATTGAAGGACTATCTTGCATCTGTCAGCAGAAGATTAGCCTGCAAGAAAGTACGTCCCAACGCTTCAAACTCTCAAATACGCAGATAGTCGGTGAAATTTCATTCCACCAATAGAAGGTATGCACTATGGTACAAATGTTATTAAGCAGAGACATATTTCGGGTGTGGTGCGACAAAAGGCTACCTGACTTTGGATATCACTGCTCACGAAGCCTTGCTCATGTCCCCTCCATTGACGGCGAAACTTTTAACACCGAAGTGCCGATATCGGAGAACCAAACAACACATGAAGTACATATCGGAAGGATCACGATACCTGTGTACTACTAACCTGTACCAGTCTGTCGTGAAAGTTGCGCTTTCTAGCTAATTCAGTGCACCAGAAAAGCGGTGGAAAATTCTCACATTGATGAGGTGCATCATATGACTGCATAAGTCTATCAAGTCCGTAGTCGCGCTATGATGCAAAATCCCTAACTTTGTCGTCGATATTCGTTGCTTCTGAGTTCCACTGCCTCTACTAGTCCACTGCATTTCGAAAAGTCACTTACATTTTCCACTGACCCCATTAGTTTCACAGATTATATTTACTAAATATGGTAGACGGACTAACAGTATTTGGCCACGGTCATTCAGCACAAGGTCTGGAACTGTACTTGCAAAAACAAACACAACAACTACAGCAGCAGCCACAACAAGAACAACAAGAAAAAGAACAACAACAACAGCAGAACAACAATATGTTCACTTTAAGGCTACACATATATGATTACCAATTGGTAGCAGACTCACGCGACTGTGCTATCTGTGAAGGTGAACACCTCTCCGGCATTTCGCCAGCATAATCGGTCATAAGAATCAGTAGGGTGGTTGCAGTGGTACAAGACCAGACCGATTGCGTTAGAGTTCACCGTTGTATTGACGACACGGAGGTGCGGAACGGGTGAATAGCGGGCTTCAGGTTCCGCACCAAATGCTTCACGGTGCAGTTGTGCTCCGGATGTGGCATAATCACGTAGATGGATAGAGTATTGGAAGTTTCGGGTCTCTACAGCGAACAGCAACCTTCCGGAGCGGATACCCTGAACTCGAAGTTCGATAGTTACTCTGTGAGCAGAAGAAATCAGTGGTAGGTGGACTAAGTCGCGAGGGATATGCCAGCTGTACGAACGCTGAGGCTCAACAGTGTCCATTGGAGCGTCGTAAATAATCACTTCCTCCAACGTCTTCTCGTCCGTATACTTAGACCTAGAAGTGCGGCTGTGCAGTGGACTGGCAGGAAGAAGTCCTGGGGGGCCGCTTGTGGGTCCAACCGTAGCGTTTGGAGCTACCCTCGCCTGATCCCTGCTAGTCGGCGATGTGGAGGCGGGGAAATCGAGGAGGTGGATAACAATTTGATGCATATGGTGCACATCATCGGCTGCCAGTTCAGCTTTGTAGATCGTCTGGTAGACGTGAAGTGGAAAAATAGATGGCCAAAATGAAGAATGCAGCACTTGATGGAGATGAAAGGCTGTCGTGTGGGAATCGAAAACATTGAAATTCAGTAATCAAGTGGTTAAATTTCCAGTCACAGAGATACTTCTGGAATGGAACAGAAGTCCGTCTGAAGAGCGTGATTCATAGTGAAGAGAGAATATCGGAACTATTTCATGATGCGTATGCTGTAGCGGTTGTGAAGATCCACGACAGTTTTGCAGCCCAAGGGAGACCACAAGTGGGTTGTGTGGTGGTAGCTGGCGAGCGAATAGCCATGAACTCAAGCCGACCTATTGTTTGCTCGCGTCGATAGCCCCTAATGGATGATAGCAAGTGGATAATTGAACTGGACTAACAAGAACAGAGCTCAAGTAGTTGCCAATAGAGGATCGGCCGGGTGAAATGAGATAATTTGTGAGTGGTTCTTATTGATGGGAGGTATATCATGAGCTTGCATCCTAAGTTTCTTTATTTCAGGTGGTGGGCTTACAGTTTTTACCTTAATGCCTTTCTTTCTCATATAAATATCTCTCTGTACTCTATTCCATTAACTTGCACACATCGCTTCAGCCAATTGTATTCGATTTCCATAACATTTTTGTGTTCGTGGCATTCCGTGAACTATACTTCCTGACCTCGTGCACTTAGCTAGGATTTGTTTGTAAACAACTTATTACGTATGCTATTTAATTAAGGTTTCCTTATGCATTAATCGAGTTTTTCTCTTTTTCTTTCTGTCCCTCTCAAGTGTTTGGCTGTTGTTTGATATCCCCGGTGTGGCTGCGCTTGATGTGTATGTTGACAAGGTGCCTACCTGTCTATTACCCACTACATCGTTCATACTGGCTCCAGGAGACAGTTGGTCGTTGCTGGAGGGGACGGGGTGCACGGTTCTTGTGGCCGTGCTAGGGTCAAAGAGTGGTTCCATCCAGGGTAAAGCGGACTAAAGTCCAACCACCACCTCCTGTGCGCTTGTTTCCCCAAATACAGCGTGCTTGTGTTTGCCTGTGAAGGAGTGTGGGCCGGCTCCGTTGATGAAACGTGGTTCCCATCCGCATGCCTTCCGGTCTTATTCCTTCGGGTTTACACTGGATATGGGGCATGTGGTTGGAGCTGTGGGTGGTTCAGCGCAAGCCATCCATGGTCCCTCTGTAGGCGTAGGCGTCCTGTGGCTTGCCACAGGGACAGGCAAATCCGAAACCGGATGCCGCCAACCATATCATGAGCTTGTGTTTCGCTAACAATATAGCATGGTCGACGTACAGAGTTGATTTTGGTTCACTTAGGCTCGCAATGACAGCTTACACTGAGCTGCCTATGCAGGTATCGATATAGTGCAGAACCCAACGTGATGAGAATGGGAAACAAGGGGATAAGAAGTAAACTCCTTTCGAGACGGCCCCTCATCAAACATCCAACACCATAGGTGGGCATATTCTTGCAGCCTTAATCCAACATTTTGACAGTGTTCGAAATCTGAGCATGGATCTTGTAAAGTCCAAAGAGAACATTGATTATTCACCCAAAGTGGATTACCTATTTGAAGACATGATATTCCTATCCGCAAAACCTTCACTTATTTCCTTACAAAAACTTACATACGTTTGCTTCTAATACTTGCATTGTGAAACACTACGTGTTCACATCGCACCATTACGTTATGCTGGACTTTGAGAGCAAATATTTCACCCTTGACAGACCGCCAGTTAGCAAACTGATACGCTGTACCGTTTCATGTTGCCATCGCAAGTCTTCTCGTTTCCGCCCCTTATTAAGATTGCGAACCTATTCGCAAGTTGAGCACTGGGTTTAATTTGAATTATGGGACCACGGTAACAGGAATGTATGTCTTGTTTCCTCTGCTCAGATATTGAGCGTACTAGAGGATCACCAGCCTAATTTTTTATCCGGCCACGTGCGTGTGTGTTTAGTTGCTACAGGGCTACATTAAAAGAACAAGTGCTCATATTATGTGCGTCTTTATTTTACGCAGGTTAGTTTCTTGCTGGTCACTAACTCATATACCACTGACCAGACCTTACATACCATAGGTACAAAAGGTATCACTCGCCTAACATTCCATGCTATGAATGCTTTACTCTCTCCCGAAATCTGCAGCCCCATTAACTCAATCTTGGTTGGTCGTCAGTTAGAGGCAGTAATTGAAGCGGTACGATGGTATCTGGTAGGACTACTGCTTACAGACAACTACAAAGCGGGATCCTGGTTTGACAAGTAATGCGGTAATTCCGTGGTGTGGAAAAGTACGTGATACCAGTCAGCGGAAGATCTATATCACCAACCTGCGGACAAGTTGCAACTGTTTGTGAAGTTCATGGCTCGATTCAGCACATGTGGTTGTGACAGCATGCGTTCATACCTTCATTCAAGATGTGTTTTATCGCACAGTATTAAAGGCATTATTAGGAAGGAATACGCGATGCGAACAAGCCAGGACCCGATCACCGCGGCCGGCGATCCAAACTCACCCACCCTGATTGGGGTGAACAGAGATCCAACCAGGAGAAGCGGCCAATTAACGCGAGAGCGGCGTTCCTTGATTTGCTGTAAGTTGACCTTTCCAGAGCTTTCCACGTGCGCTTTAAATACCGTTCACGCACTTTCCATATCACCTTTATAATGAGCTGTGTGCTTCGCTAGTAGATCCCTGTTGCTCTGCTCGTCCGATCCGGTCTTCTCTCTGTCCTGTGGGGGGCCAGCGACTTCGGGTTTTGATTGGGAATCAAGCATGCATTCAGGCGAGGGACGAACACGTCAGGTATCCATTGAACTGGACCGACATGCGAAAATTGCATTTAAAGCGGTCAGCGCGTCATTTGCGCAGTGGCCTAAAACCGTGATCCGGTAAATTAAGGAGGGCGCACGTTTGAGTCGGCCGGCCAACATAGGAATTCTATTACTTATTAATTGGTTTATATCCTTACGTGCCTTTTCTCACATCACCACACAAACCTGTGTGTCTTGCTGATGTCAGATATCCGTTGGGACTAAGTGAGTGGAGGGGACACCAGGCTTTTCTTTGGTGCACGCATACGCGTTTTCCATCATCCGCGTGCCATCACTCTATCCAGATGCTATGGAGTCGAACACGTGCGGCTAAATTCCTGTTGATCGCCACAACCCCAGTCGAAACTGTCATCTGCACTTCGCAAAAGCCTGATCAAGTAGCCTTGATTAGTAACCGGAAATTAAGCAACCTCTTTGTCTTGATATATGTCCACAGGGATATTTGAGTTCGTCTTTTCGCTCCAGCCGTAGCCGATATTGTGAAGACGGATGAATTAAAGAGAATCAAAGCTGTCTTTAAACCAATGCTGTAGACTAATTTTCCGTTTATCCGATGCCGTTTGCCGGTTTGCACTAGGAACAGCTGCTGGGACTTTGGTCCTGTTTCCTTGTTCGTTCCACGGAAAGGTACTCTAATAGTCATTTCAGTACGGGTTATTAGTCACGGTTTTCAGATGAGTAGTGGCAGCTTTGTTAGGTCTATCTGTCAGGAATTCGGATAGAAATAGGGGCCTCAGGTTCCACAATGTTTGTGATGGGTGACACCTACCTTGCATCATATTGTAGCAAGAACAAAGTGGCAAGAAAGCACAATCCTTATTGCGCGCGAATACTGTTAACCAAACTGCTACGCACGCGCACATATATCGGTCACATTTCCGTCCCACAACGCAATGTACCCGGAGAATTACTACATGTTACATTGGTGATTCGGTGTTGCCCCTCCCAACCCTGACACCCCATAACCGGTTTCGTCCTCCTTTGGACTCATCAGATGGAGATAGTCTGAGCTAGGGTGGATTTCGAGGCCTAATATTCAAAAGTTGCCGCGTTGCCTACTACGGCTCTAAGCTCCGCGAGCAACGCTTGGCACGGGGGTAAAGAATTCCAAGTGGCATTTGGTGTACTCGCTGTGTGATTGGATTGCGACTCGCAATCTCTATTCAGACCTCGGTCCTCTTTGAAGTAGACCTCAGTCATTACGATCACAAGGACGGCATTTAAATTGGTGGTTCGGTGTTGTCCCTCCCAACCCTGACACCCCATAACCGGTTTCGTCTTCCTTTGGACTCATCAGATGGAGATAGCCTGAGCTGAGGTGGACCTCGAGGCCTAGTGTTCAAAAGTTGACGCCTTGACCACTATGGCTCTAAGATCCGCGAGAAACGCTTGGCACAACGGTAAAGAATTCCAAGTGGCATTTGGTGTACCCGCTGTGTCACATTTGTGCGCCGTTCCTCCTCAACTTTGGGGGGTTTGGGTGCCTGTCTGACAACGTATCATCGATTCCGTACTCAAATTCTGACCAACGTGGAGTTGTTATAGGGCTCTTGATTTTCTTGATCGCGGTTGCGTTATTCGACTTGGGGTTATTCCTGGATGCACCAACATAGGTGTTTCTGTCTGATTTGTTGGCATTTAGACTAATAGTTTCTCTATTCTCCTTGACTCAGAGCCGTTACCATTCGTCGCTCGTAATCCGCCCTCCGCTTGTTATGTGGGGCTTGGTTTACGCCGTTCGATCTCATTTATGCTGCCTGTGACTGTTTCTGTCCTCGCTCGTGCTTGTGGTTTTCCAGTCCTTGGCGTGATCGCTAGCTTCCGCGCCAATACAATATCAGCACTCGACAGACTCCTTCTAAAATGTAATGCAAAAGTGGTGACTCCCAATTCCTGTAGTGATTGGGGTCGCGAAAACTACTGTCAACCATTAAAACTTATAGATGTTATGAGGCAGCGTATAGGTCAAATAGGCCATGGCTCATGAGCAGGCAGCGCGTGTGTTTACTTTCAACCGTTAGCGAGTAGTCGATGAGAGTCGGTCTCTAGATGTGCAGGGATGTAATCACGGTTTTGCTTGTTGCAGTTGATTGGTAACTTCAGCGACGACACAACAGCTCATTGTTACGTTTGAACTACATGTTATGCACGCGGAGTA